GAGACTCAAATGAGGTAGTACACGTGGAAGCACCTAGCAGCGAACCTGGCTCTAAAGAAGTTGCTCCAGGTGTTGTCTTCCTTGTGTCTCACTCCCTTTTTTTTTTTTTTTTATGAGACAAGATCTCATTCCATTACCCAGGCTGGAATGCCAGTGGCACAATCTCGGCTCACTGCAACCTCCACCTCCTGGGCTCAAGCGATCCTCCCACTTCAACCTCCAAAGTAGCTAGGACTACAGGCGAGCATCACCACGCCTGGCTAATTTTTTTTTTTTTTGTAGAGATAGGATTTTGCCATGTTTCCCAGGCTGGTCTCAAACTCCTGGCTCAAGCATCTGTCTGCCTTAGCCTCCCAAAGTGCTGGGATTACAGGCATAAGCCACTGTTCCTGGCCTACTGTACTCTTTTTACTACACTATTAGCTATGATGAGCTGGACCTCGCTTAGCCCCAGCTGAGATCTTGCTTCCCATCCTCCTCCCTGCCTGCTGCTTCCCTGAGTCATGCCCACTGCAACGTAAACAACAGGGGAACTCCTAGAAGCTTACCATGACAGCAGTAGTGGGAGGAACAAGAGGGGAGGGAGCAACTATTTTGTTTTGTTTGAAATGAAGTCTCACTATGTTGTCTAGACTGACCTCAAACTCCGAGGGTCAAATGATCCTTCTGCCTCAGTCCCCTGAGTAGCTGAGACTACAGGCATGCGCCACCATGCCTGGCTAATTGTTTTTATTTATTTATTTATTTATTTTTGTAGAGACAGGGGTCTCACTGTGTTGCCCAGACTGGTCTTGAACTCCTGGGCTCACTCAGTACTCCTGCCTCGGTCTCCCAAATGCTGGGATTGCAGGCATGAGCCACTGTGCATACCCTTACACTGTATTTTCAGAATTGTAAATTATTAAGATAAGAAGTGCCCTTTAAAGATTCAAACAAACACATAAAGTATAAAGTAAATAAACTTCCCACTAAGCTACTTCACCTTCTCAGAGGCTACTTACCATTGTCAACTGCTTGAGATGTATCCTTCTAGATCTTCTATTCAAACACACATAATGGGCTCATACCAAATATTTTTTTGCAACTTTTCTGTTTTGTTTTCTTTTTATTTTTATTTATTTATTATTTATTTATTTATTTCACACAGAGTCTTGCTCTTGTCGCCCAGGCTGGGGTATAGTGGCTTGATCTCAGCTCATTGCAACCTCTTCTCCTGGGTTCAAGTGTTTCTCCTGCCTCAGCCTCCTGAGTAGCTGGGATTACAGGCACCCACCACCACGCCTGGCTAATTTTTGTAATTTTAGTAGAGACAGGGCTTCATGATGTTGGGCAGGCTGATCTCAAACTCCTGACCTCAGGAGATCCACCTGCCTCAGCCTCCCAAAGTGCTGGGATTACAGGTGTGAGCCACCATGCCTGGCCAGTTTTGTTTTGTTTTTAGTTAATACTGTATTCCAAGGACACCTTTCCAAATCAGTACGGCCATATCTAATACGTCCTTTTAAATGATGGCTACTATTTTATTCTCTGGGTGACCCTAATAGTATACTTCTATATTTTCCAGACCTTTGATGAGCACATTATTTATTTTAAAATGTAGGGCATTTTACCATAAAAATTTTTATTTCAAATCTTATCGGTAGAAAAATATCCAAATTTTGGCCCTGCATTGTGGCTCCTGCCTGTAATCTCAGCACTTTGGGAGGCCAAGACAGGTGGATCATGAAGACAAGATTTCGAGACCATCCTGGCCAATGTGGTGAAACCCTGTCTCTACTAAAAATACAAAAATTAGCTGGGTGTGGTGGCGCACCCCTGTAGTCCCAGCTATTCTGGAGGCTGAGGCAGGGAATCACTTGAACCCAGAAGGTAGAGGTTGCAGTGAGAGAAGATCACACCACTGGACTCCAGTCTGGCAACAGAGCGAGACTGTCTCAAAAAAAAAAAAAAAGAAAGAAAGAAAGAAAGAAAAGAAAAAGAAAGGGCCGGGCGCAGTGGCTCACGCCTGTAATCCCAGCACTTTGGGAGGCCGAGGCGGGTGGATCACAAGGTCAAGAGATCGAGACCATCCTGGTCAACACGGTGAAACCCCGTCTCTACTAAAAATACAAAAAATTAGCTGGGCACGGTGGCGCATGCCTGTAGTCCCAGCTACTCAGGAGGCTGAGGCAGGAGAATTGCCTGAACCCAGGAGGCGGAAGTTGCGGTGAGCCGAGATCGTGCCATTGCACTCCAGCCTGGGTAACAAGAGCGAAACTCCGTCTCAAAAAAAAAAAAGAAAAAGAAAAATATTAAAATTTCAAATTTTGTATAATAAGAATGTATATATATTTATCATGTAGAAACAGATGATCTAAAATTCTAGGTCAAAAGAAGACAAACATATTTTATTTAATTTTTACTTATTTATTTTTATTTTTTTTTTGAGACAGTCTCGCCCAGGCTGGAGTGCAATGTCAGGATCTCAGCTTACTGCAACCTCTGACTCCGGGTTCAAGCAATTCTCCTGCCTCAGCCTCCTGAGTAGCTGGGACTATAGGCACGCACCACTACACCTGGCTAATTTTTGTATTTTTAGTAGAGACAGGGTTTCACCATGTTGGCCAGGCTGGTCTTGAACTCCTGACCTTGGGTGATCCACCTGCCTCAGCCTCCCAAAGTGCTGGGATTACAGGTGAGAGCCACCACACCTGACCATGCAGTGTTTTTTTTCTACATAAAATAATGATGTGTTTTGACAATGAATAGCAACTGAAATTCAACAAAATCAATAGCAGTTCTGTTGTTGTTGTTGTTGTTCTTCTTCTTCCTCTTCTTTTTTTCCCCTGAGATAGAGTTTCACTCTTGTTGCCCAGGCTAGAGTGCAATGGTGCAATCTTGGCTCACTGTAACCTCCACCTTCCAGGTTCAAGCAATTCTCTTGCCTCAGCCTCCCAAGTAGCTGGGATTACAGGCGCGTGCTATCTCGCCCAGATAATTTTTGTGTTTTTAGTAGAGACGGGGTTTTGCCATGTCAGCCAGGCTGGTCTCAAAATTCTTACCTCGGGATTCATCGGCCTCGGTCTCCCAAAGTGTTGGGATTACAGGTGTGAGCCACCGTGCCAGGCCTCTTTTTTTTATTCCATTTTAAAATATAACTTTTCTGGCTGAGCAAAGATTGCCTGAGATCAGGAGTTGGAGACCATCCTGGCCAACATGGTGAAACCCCTATCTCTACTAAAATACAAAAAATCAGCCAGGTGTGGTTTTGTACGCCTGTAGTCCCAGCTACTCAGGAGGCTGAGGCACCAGAATTGCTTGAACCCCGCGGAGGTTGCAGTGAGCTGAGATCATGCCATTGCACTCCAGCCTGAGTGACAAAGTGAAACTCTGTCTCAAAAGAAAGAAAAAAATGAAGGAAGGAAGGAGAGAGGGAGAGAAAGAAAGAAAAGAAAGAAAGAGAGAGAGAGGCCAGATGCAGTGGTTCACACCTGTAATTGTAGTACTTTGGGAGGCTGAGGCGGGTGGATCATAATGGCAGGGGTTCAAGACCAGCCTGGCCAAGATGGTGAAACCCCCATCTCTACTAAAAATACAAAAAATAGCCAGATGTGGTGGCGGGTGCCTGTAATCCCAGCTACTTGGGAGGCTGAGGCAGAGAATTGCTTGAACCCAGGAGGTGGAGGTTGCAGTGAGCCTAGATCTTGCCACTGCACTCCAGCCTGGATGACAGAGTGAGACTCTGTCTCAAAAAAAAACAAAACAAAACAAAACAAAACAAAAAAAAAGGAAGAAAGAGAGAGAAAGAAAGAAAGAGAGAGAGAGAGAGAAGGACCACTGCCAATTAATTGGAAAATGCCATCAATTTCAGAATTTTAAAGATGTATAAACTGGGAGTGTCTCAACATCAGTGTTGACACTGAGTAATTTATAAAGCGCAAGGAATGTATTTCTGGCCGAGAGTGGTGACTCACACCTGTGATCCCAGCACTTTGGGAGGCTGAGGTGGGAGAAACGTCTGAGGCCAGGAGTTCCAGACCACCAACATAGTAAAACCCCTTCCCTACAAAAAATACAACAGTTAGCTGGGTGTGGTGTTACACACATACCTATAGTCCCAGCTTCTCAGGAGGCTGAGGTGGGAAGCCATGATCACACCACTGCATTCTAGCCTAAGCGACAGAGAAAGATTGTCTATAAAAAGCAAAAAACAAAGAAAAGAAGAGAAAAAAGAAAAAGAAATTTATTTCTCACAGTTCTGGAGGATGTTCAAGATCAGGGCACCAGCAGGTTTAGTTATCTGTTTCCAAGGTCACACCTTGAAAGCTGTGACCTCACATGGCAAAAGGGATGGAAAGACAAAAAGGGCAAGATTAAGTGCTTTCTTCAACCTTGAGCCCTTTTTAAAGAATTATTAATTTTTTTGTGTGTGAGACAGGGTCTCACTTGTCACCCAGGCAGGAGTGCAGTGGCCAGATCATGGCTCACTTCAACCTGACCTCCCCAGGCAACCTGGCACCCTTTTCTAACCATGCTAATCCCATTCCACCCTCGGACTTAATCACATCCCACAGGCCACACCTCTGCACTGGGATTAAGATTCGACAGAGGCCAGGCACAGTGGCTCATGCCTGTAATCCCGGCACTTTGGAAGGCTGAGGCAGGTGGATCACAAGGTCAGGAGTTCAAGACTAGCCTGACCAACATGGTGAAACCCCATCTCTACTCAAAATATAAAAATTACAGGCTAGAATTAGTTTGCCTGTAATCCCAGCTCCTCAGGAGGCTGAGGCAAGAGAATCACTTGAACCCAGAAGGCGGAGGTTGCAGTGAGCTGAGATCAGGCCACTCCAGCCTGGGCAACAGAGTAAGACTCCGTCTCAAAAAAAAAAAAAAAAAAGATTCAGCATAAACTTTGGAGGGGACATCATCCTAACCATGGCAAGGAGTCTTGGAATTCATGAAATAAAACAGTCCCTTCTTGTCCCTTTATTAACCAGAATTTTTGTGTGGTCTTCCAGGCACTGCCAGGGCCAGGACCAGTTGATCCTTCCAGCCCACAGCAATGGAGCCACAAGACTCCTCCCACGTGGACTCTGAGTTCCGATACACTCTCTTCCCGATTGTTTATAGCATCATCTTTGTGCTTGGGGTCATTGCTAATGGCTACGTGCTGTGGGTCTTTGCCCGCCTGTACCCTTCCAAGAAACTCAATGAGATAAAGATCTTCATGGTGAACCTCACCATGGCGGACATGCTCTTCTTGATCACCCTGCCACTGTGGATTGTCTACTACCAAAACCGGGGCAACTGGATTCTCCCCAAATTCCTGTGCAACCTGGCTGGCTGCTTCTTCTTCATCAACACCTACTGCTCTGTGGCCTTCCTGGGCGTCATCACTTATAACCGTTTCCAGGCAGTGACTCAGCCCATCAAGACTGCTCAGACCAACACGCGCAAGCGTGGTATCTCTTTGTCCCTGGCTATCTGGGTGGCCATTGTGGGGGCTGCATCCTACTTCCTCATCATGGACTCCACCAACACAGTGTCCAACAGTGCTGGCTCCGGCAATATCACCCGCTGCTTCGAGCATTACGAGAAGGGCAGCATGCCAGTCCTCATCATCCACATCTTCATCGTGTTCAGCTTCTTCCTGGTCTTCCTCATCATCTTCTTCTGCAACCTGGTCATCATTCGTACCTTGCTCATGCAGCCGGTGCAGCAGCAGCGCAATGCTGAAGTCAAGCGCCGGGCGCTGTGGATGGTGTGCACGGTCTTGGCGGTGTTTATCATCTGCTTTGTGCCCCACCACGTGGTGCAGCTGCCCTGGACCCTGGCTGAACTGGGATTCCAGAACAGCAACTTCCACCAGGCCATTAACGACGCACATCAGGTCACCCTCTGCCTCCTTAGCACCAACTGTGTCTTAGACCCTGTAATCTACTGTTTCCTCACCAAGAAGTTCCGTAAGCATCTCTCCGAAAAGTTCTACAGCATGCGAAGCAGCCGGAAATGCTCCCGGGCCACCACAGATACAGTCACTGAAGTGGTTGTGCCACTCAACCAGGTCCCTGGCACTCCCCTCAAAAATTAGTCCCTGCTTGTTGGGACCAGGCCTGAAGTCTTCTCCCCTTGGACATCATGAACTGAGCTGGGGAAGAAGGGATATCTGCTGTGGTCTGGGTACCACCTCCGTGGTACTGCCACCTAATAGCACTGGTGGGCCATTAGGTTTGGAGGCTAATTCACCCGGGCAGGGATGATGGCAGAGCCAGACTGTCAGAAAATCCAGAACTCAAATGAGCCCCTTCATCCGCCTGTGGGCGTGTACTGTAGTAACTGTGGTGGACTACCTCATCCTGAGTCCCTTAATCTTATGGGGCTGGAAGGAATGCCAGGGCCAGGTGCAGAGGTGCAGACACTGGGGGAAGACTTTGAGCCGCCTAGTTCTCCCCGACGGGGCATCAGTCTAAAGCTTTGGGCAAGCACTCTCAAGTGATAGAGGCAGAAATGGGAGTTGGGAAAGGGACACTGCCCTCTCTGTGTGGCACTATCTTGGGGCAGACTTAAGAGCTAGGATGATGCCATTCTCTCTCTACCCTCAGGCACAAGGTCTTTGTGACCTTTCTCAGGGGAAGTGCCTTGATGGAACCTTCTCTGACTCCCCTGGCAACCTGTCCCGAATGGTGACCAGAGAAAATAAAACATGAACAGACCAAAAGCTAGGAAAGGAGCTTGCTTCCCAAGGCAGACGTGTCTCTCCACAAAGGCCTCGCCTCTGGCCTGGTCAGCTCTGGGGGAGTGGGAGAGAGATGCCCACCTCCTCCATCCTTCCGTCTCAACAACAGTCACTAATTAAGTATCTTCTGTGGGGCAGCCACCTACTGAGGATGGGCAAAGGCCCCTTGAGAGCAAAATTGAAGCTGGATGCAGTGGTTCATGTCGGTAATCCTAGCACTTTGGGAGGCCGAGGCAGGCAGATCACCTGAGGTCAGGAGTTTGAGACCAGCCTGGCCAACATGGTGAAACCCCATCTCTACTAAGAATACAAAAATTAAGGCCATGTGCTGTGGCTCGTGCCTATAATCCCAACACTTGGGAGGCTGAGGTGGGTGGATCATTTGAGGTCAGGAGTTTGAGACCAGCCTGACCAATATGGTGAAACCCTGTCTCTACTAAAAATACATAAAAATTAACTGGGCATGGTGTTGCATGCCTGCCTGTAGTTCCAGCTACTTGGGCAGCTGAGGCAGGAGAATCGCTTGAACCCAGGAGACGGAGGTTGCAGTGAGCTGAGATCTCACCATTGCACTCCAGCTAGGATGACAGAGTGAGACTATGTCTCAAAAAAAAAAGAAACAAAATTGGGGCTGTCCAGGCCAGGACATCTCGATGTCCAGGGGCTTCCATGCGAACAGGCTTGTGGGCTGGGAAGTGTGTGAGGCCCCTGGGTGGAAGATTGTGTCAGTTCCTCTCCCCTTCCTTGCCCTCTGGGAGGCTCCTCTTAACACAGCTTCCAGGAGGTGGGAGGAGCAGTTACTGTCAGCAGATGTCAGCCAGGTGTCAGTTTCTCTTGAGGATCTCTAGATGTCTGCTTGTGATTTTTGGCAAGTATATGCAAATGAGCCGCCTCTCCTGCCGAGACAAGTACCTGCAGTGTCAATCTGGCAGCCTCAGACCCAAGGGGCTCAGAGGAAATGTCTCTGGTTTGCAGAGCGCTGTGCTCTTTCAGAGGTCTTCCTTCCTCCCAGTCGGTGTCCCTGTGAAGCTGGGATACTCGCATCCTGTGCACCTGGCAAATGCCAATTGTGGATTTTGAGAAATGTCTCCCCGTGGGCCAGTAAACTGCTGAAGTCTGGGATGGTAGCTGTGGGCTGGACTTGGCTGATAACGTGACTGGGTGCCTAGTGCAGCACACTTGAGCTTCAGTGTCACAGAGGCCTGGCTCAAGTCTTGGTTGTGTCATTTCCTGCTGAGAGACCAGGCGCTGAATTTCCTACCTCTTGGGGTCATTGTCTATGAGGTTAAAGCTACCTCATGGGATTGTTATGAGTGGCCAATGTTGAGGTAGACACCTCTTGATCAGGGCGACTGCTCATCCTAGACCCTCCCCCTTTCCTGAGAATTTCCGCCCCCTGATGCTCTGATGGGAGCAGAAAAGATGCAAGGTGGGCATCTAGAGCAGGAATGCTGTTCAGGCTTTGCAGGTCTTTTACCTGAAAACATAGAAACTCTGGAGCTGTGACTGTGTCTGTGTGTGTTGGGGGGATGGCCACCTGCATGAGTGTAGTGGAGAAAATGGCTCTGCTCAGAGAAAAGATACGCATAGCAAGGCAGAGACCAGGGGAATCACAGGTGCCTGGAGAGCAACGGGGTGCCTACCGTCTCCAGGGACCTGCTGGCCTCCTTCCACCCTCCAGGGACCCAGCACTCTTTCCGTTGGGCCCTGTGAGAGTCCCTTGTCAGGATATATTCTCTTACTTTGCTGAAGCTGATTTGATTGAGTGTCTATGACTCACAGCCAAAAGAACTCTGAACAAGAACAATGCTTCTGTGCTCACTCCAGTGTCTCCTGAATTTCAGTCATTTGTGTACCCGCCTTGAAATTTTTGCAATATCCATGTACCAACTATATGTTTACTTAATAAATTTTTCTTTAAGTCATTTTTAAAAGCTTACATTTATTGGAAAGAAAACATTATAACATAACTATAAATAAAAACTAATACTACCTGTCACAAATAGAAGGTAAACGAAAACATAAAATAGTAACTATAAAAATATTTCTCGGCTGAATGTAGTGGTGCATGGCTGTAATCCCAGAATTTTGGGAGCCTGAGGGGGGCAGATTACTTGAGCCCAGGAGTTTGAGAACAGCCTGACAAACATAGCAAAATACTGTCTCCACCAAAAATTTATGGGTGTGGTGGCTCACGCCTGTAATCCCAGCACTTTGGGAAGCCAAGGAGGATGGATTACTTGAGGTCAGGAGTTCAAGACCAGTCTGGTCAATGTGGCGAAACCCTGTATCTACTAAAAACCCAAACATTAGCTGGATATGGTGGTGGGCACCTGTAGTCCCAGCTACTGGGGAGACTGAAGCAGGAGAATCACTTGAACCCGCCGGTCAGAGGTTGCAGTGAGCCAAGATTGTGCCAATGCCCTCCAGCCTGGGAGTCAAAGCAAGACTCTGTCTAAAAAAGAAAAAAAAATTTTTTTTAAGTAGCCAGGCATAGCGATGTGTATCTGTAGTTCCAGCTACTTGGGAGGCTGAAGTGGGAGGATTGCTTGAACCAGGAGGTCGAGGTTGCAGTGAGTTGTGATCATCATGCCACACTGCATTCTGACCTGGGTGATAGAACAAGACCCTGTCTCAAAAAAAAAAAAAAAGTTTTTCTGTGTTCTGTCTAAAGTCACTCGACATGTCTTAGTGACTTGTGTAGCACTTCAGGAAGCTCTACTGTGATGTGTGTAAAGTTCACAGGGTCTCAATAAAGACTAACTCTGGGCCCATGCCTATAATCCCAGCACTTTGGGAGGCCAAGGCAGGAGGTTTGCTTGAGCTCAGGAGTTTGAAACCAGCCTGGGCAACATAGCGAGACCCTGTCTCTAATTGGAAAAAAAAAAAAAAAGAGTAACTGACAGTTCTGAGACAGCGACTTGTGATTACCTCCTTACTTCTCCCAGAATGTCACCTCAACACATAGACCGTGCTCTCATAAGGATTAGCGGGGTGGGAGGAGTACTGTAGGTTGTAGCTCATGCTACAGCCTTGTTGATCTCCCCACCACCCAAATACAGCCACCTTTACTCCTCCTGTATCCTCTGTCTCTTCTCTTTTTTTCTAAACTTTTTTCTGAAGGTGGGATCTTGCTATATTGCCCAGGCTGGCATGGAATGGCTATTCACAGACATGACTATTGCATACTACAGGATCAAACTCCTGGCCTCAAGCAATCCTCCTACCTCAGCCTCACCAGTAGCTGGGACTACAGGAATGGGTCACTGTACCCAGCCCTTCTCTTCTTTTTGACATATCCCAGAATACTCCAATAAGCAGTCTTCTGAATTCCTCCAGGCAGCCTTTTGGGAGTGGGAAAGTCCAACATTTGTCTACCTTAATTACTGTGACCATTAAAGTGAACCCATTGCAATGCCATCTTTCCCATCTTGGGGGGCAGGAACCGAATCTTAACAATCTGTCTCCAGTTTCTCACACGGCCTGGAATTGAGATCTGTCTGTCTCCAAAGTGTACAGCTTCCCCAGGGCTTAGAATAAACAGACATGTTGACATATACGTGCAAATATTTTGAAAGGGTTTGAGGAGACCCTATAGAGACAGATGGAAAAGAAATGTCATACATGTTCTTCCAAAGTTCTAGGTCCATATTTTAAAGGAAGACGTAGAGTTTTCAGAGAATCAAAACATCGTGGAGCTGGAAGGGTCCAACCCCTTCATCTTACTAAGGAGATCATGGGGCTCAGAGGGCTAAGTGATTGCGGAGGTCACACGGTGTGGAGCTGTGGCGGATGCAGGGCTGGTTGCTCACCGGCATCTCTCCATTCTTGCAACGGTGACAGGGATTATGGGAGGAGTTGAGTTGCAATTCTTTTGATGAAACATCACTGATTAGAATTTCCAAGGCATCCTGTGTATCAGGAAAGCCTCACCTTGCATTTGCCCCGATCTCAGCTTTCGCCCCAGGGAACCACCAGTGATCTCAGCTGGTGAATGCTGGCTATGTAAGACCTGGCCTCGCTGAGGTGAATCATAGACCCCAGAATGGTAAGTGGAGGTCACAGTTGACTAGACCTGGGTGTGTTAATGCCTGTTTTCACTCATGTGTTATATCTGTGCTCAAGACCTAGGGTTGCAAAGAGATATAATAAGACCTTCCTGTAAAGCACCTGGTTTTTGTGCAGACTTGATATTTCTGTAGAAAAAATCCTATTCCTTTTGACATTCTGCCAGTAAGCCATCCTCCCACATACCCATTCATCTGTCTGCCTATCCATCCCTCCATCCCACCATACCTCTATCCATCCATCCATCCCTCTAACCATCCATCCATCCAACCATCCCTTTACCATCCATCCATCCATCCATCCATCCATCCATCCATCCATCCATTCATCCATCCATTCCCTCATCCCTTTAGGTAACTGACAAACACCTATGGACGGCCTATTTTGGTCCAGCAACACAACAACAACAGTTCTCTCACTAAAACCTGATACTCTCCCTGAAACATGGGTGGTTTTATCCCCACAGAAATGAATAAGACAAGTGTTACAGCTCTTTTAGAATTTGTCTAGCAGGCTTTCCAACTTTTGCCAGAAAGCCCTTAAAAAAGAAGGAATAAAAAAAAAATGAATAACATAAATAAGGACCTGAGCTAACTGAATAAGAGGTAGTGGTTGCCTCCCAGGTACTTGGTACAGAAGGAAGGGGGCCCCAGCTATTTGCCTGCCACTTTCACCTATCTTATCTCATCAAGTCCTCACAACCACCCCACAGAACAGAACATTTCATGCCCATTTTACAGATGAGGAAATTAAGGCTCAGAAGGGTTCAGGTACCTGAGACAGGTAGATTTAAAAAAGAGCTACTAAATGACATAATAATATTCAAAGCCAGATCTGCCTTAGTAAGCATGTGTCTCTTTCCTTGTGTTTTCCCACCCTGCCATGTGGCTGTACCCTCGCCCAAGCCCCTCTCTCAAGGCAGTTTGGTAAGCGCTGGGACAGGGCTCTCTTGGGGGAATGACCCAAGAGACCTCCAATGGGAGGTAAGGGCCTCCACCTTGCTGTTTCTGGCTTCCTCTTTGAGGCCTCTGTGCTCCCCGTGCAGGTTAAAACCCCAGCAGCAATGACTGTTTCCTGAGCTCGGGTAACCTTGGTCAGCTAGGGAGGTTACCCCTGAGGGTGGATGGCATCCATGAACACAGTGTTCCAGAGACCCTCAGAAGCCAGAGTGGTCACTGTCACTGGAGCTAGAAGGTGCTCTTATCCGTCACCTGGATCCTGATATCCTAAGAGGAGGGTCAGAGGTGGCCACTTGACATTTGCTGACCACTTACTGGAAGGGGAACTTTACTCCTCCCAAGCCCCTATGGCTAGAACTGACTCTTCCCTCTGCCTGAGTTATTTTGTCCCGGGAGATCCACACGGCTCACCTCCTTGCTTCCTTCACAGCTTTGCTCAGATGTCCCCTTCTTGGTGAGGCCTGCTTGACTATCTCACTCAAAAATGGAGGCTTGCACTTTGGGAGGCTGAGACAGGTAAATCACGAGGTCAGGAGATTGAGACCATCCTGACGAACATGGTGAAACCCCATCTCTACTAAAAATACAAAAATAAGCTGGGCATGGTGACACGTGACTGTAATCCTAGCTACTCGGGAGGCTGAAGCAGGAGAATCACTTGAACCTGGGAGTCAGAGGTTGCAGTGAACCAAGATCGCACCACTGCACTCCAGCCTGGCAACAGAGCAAGACTCTGTCTCAAAAAAAAAAGAGGCTTGGGACCTGGTGCAGTGGCTGACACCTTTAATTCCAGTACTTTGGGAGGCCGAGGTAGGCAGATCACCTGAAGTCAGGAGTTTGAGACCAGCTTGGCCAACATAACAGAACCCTGTCTTTACTAAAAATACAAAAATTAGCTGGGCATGGTGGCAGGCACCTATAATCCCATCGACTCAGGAGGCTGAGGCAGGAGAATCACTTGAATCTGGGAGGTTGAGGTTGCAGTAAGCCGAGATCATACCACTGCATTCCAGTTTGGGTGATAGAGCAAGACTCTGACTCAAAAAAAAAAAAAAAAAAAAAAAAAAAATGGAGGCTTGGGTAGGGAGTGTGCAGGGTTTCATGGCTCTGCAGTCTCATTAAACTCAGTGCCCTCCTGAAAAAAAAAAAAAAAAAATAATATATATATATATATATATATATATATATATATATATATATAAAACAGTGCTTGCTTCAGCAGCACATAACTAAAACTGGAGCAATACAGAGATACAGGTATGGCCCCTGAACAAGGATGACATGTAAATTCATGAAGTGTTCCATATAACTAAAATAAATTTAAAAAAATGAAAACCAACCCCCCCCCCCCCGCAAAAAATAGAGGCTTGGACGATAAAGTGATTCCCAAGGTCACACAGTGAATGGCTGGCCTAGCTGCGTCCATCCAGCTCCCAAGCTCATTCTGCCTCACTGCCTTCCCCTTCATGACACAGAATGTGAAGATCCCTATCTTCCACCTTCCAGACAAGAGAGACGAGCATCAAGCAGGTAAAATGACTAACATCCAGGTCACACAGCAATAACCGGATGCAGAGATCCTTATTTTGCCTCTACCGTGCGAGTGCTTCTCATTCATTTTTGTCTGAATGCATATCATTTGCTTTTATCAACATTTTCCATTCTCATCCTCCACAGCAGTTCTAGTGCAGGCAATATATATCCTTGATGTTGTATGTATGCTTGTAAAATGTATGCTGATATTTTTTGCGTGTATTCATTTTAAATTTACATAAAAATTATGGTTCATGGCCAGGCACAGTGGCTCACACCTGTAATCCTAGCACTTTGGGAGGCCGAGGCAGGCAGATCACAAAGTCAGACGTTCGAGACCAGCCTAGCCAACATGGCAAAACCCCGTCTTTACTAAAAATACAAAAAAATTAGCCTGGTATGGTGGCCTGCGCCTGTAATCCCAGCTACTTTTGGGGAGGCTGAGGCAGGAGAATCGCTTGAACGCAGGAGGTGGAGATTGCAGTGAGCCGAGATCACGCCACTACACCCTGGCCCGGGTGACAGAGTAAGACTCCCATCTCAAGAAAAAAAAAAAGTTATAGTTCACATAATCTGACCTTATTCTATGTCTCATTCCCCGCCCCCAGCATTATTTTTGCAGTGGAACCGTGTTGAAGTGTGTACATCTCGTTCAATGATGTCAGTGTCTGCTGAGTTCTGCATTGTGTACCTCTACTACATTCTACCCATTACCCTGGTGATGGACAATGAGGTTGCCTTCCACTCCCTTTTCTTTGTTTTTCGGGGGTGTAGGGGGGATGGAGTCTTGCTTTGGCTCCCAGGCTGGAGTGCAATGGTGAGATCTTGGCTCACTGCAACCTCTGCCTCCCAGATTCAAGCGATTCTTCTGCCTCAGCCTTCTGAGTAGCTAGGATTACAGGTGCCCGCCACTGCGCCGGGTTAATTTTTGTATTTTTAGTAAAGACAGAGTTTCCCCAGATTGGCCAGGCTGGTCTTGAACTCCTGACCTCAAGTGGTCTGCCCGCCTCGGCCTCCTAAAGTGCTAGGATTACAGGTGTGAGCCACCACACCCAGCCCTGTTCCCTTTTCTATAACCAATGCTGTGAGATTCTTCCAGGTGTTCCCTATGGACTAGTATAAGCATTTCTCTAGAATGTATACCTGGGAGTGAAATTCTCAGGTTGTAGGCTACAGTTATTTAACTTGGTAAAGAATTACTAAGTTGCTTCTGGAATGGCTGTACCAGTCTACACTCCCACTCCTAGTTACACAAAAGTTTCTATTTCCATGCATTTCTACCCACAATTGGCACTGTCCAACTTTAAAATTGCAGGTAAGTGTAAAATAAAAATCTTGTTTTTAGTTTGGATTTCTTTGACATTGCTTTTTTTTTTTGAGACAGGTTCTTACTCTGTCACCCAAGCTGAAATGCAGTGGCATGAACATGGGTTACTGCAGACTTGAATTCTGGGGCTCAAGTGATCCTCCTGCCTCATCCACCCCAGTAGCTGGGACTGCAGGCATGCCACCACACCTGGCTAATTTTAAATTGTTTCTTTTTATTTATTTATTTTTTTAAGATGGAGTTTCGTTCTGTTGCCCAAGGTGGCGTGCAGTGGCACAATCTTGGCTCACCGCAATCTCTGTCTCCTGGATTCAAGCAATTCTCCTGCCTCAGCCTCCCCAGTAGCTGAGCTTAGAGGTCCGTTCCATGATACCCACCTAATTTTTGTAGTTTCAGTAGAGACGGGGGTTTCACCATGTTGGCCAGGCTGGTCTCAAACTCCTGACCTCAGGTGATCCACCCGCCTCAGCCTCCTAAAGTGTTGGGATTACAGGCGTGAGCCACCATGCCCGGCCAATGTTTTGTTTTTTTTTTTTTGTCAACCAGGCTGATCTTGAACTCCTGAGCTCAAGCAATCCCCCTGCCATGATCTTCCAAAGTGGTGGCCTTACAGGGGTGAGCCACTGAGCCTGGCAATCTCATGTTACTAATGGGTTTGTAATCATGTACTCATTAGGCATTTCAGTTTAAATTCAGACGATTCTGATTCCAAAGTCCATACAGTGTCACAGAGTGATCAATAAAGTGGTTTCTTGGGCCACAGTGACAGCGTTCAATTTCTGTCTCTGCAACTTTCCAGTCTGTGATTTTTAGGCAGACTAACCTCTCTGGGTTATTTTCTTCATTTGTAAAAAGGGAATAATTATACCGTCGACATAATAGGATGGTTTCGAGGATTTAGAGTTGCTTAGAACAGTGCTTTGAATGAAACTAACTTAGTACATATTATATCCTGCCTGGGCACGGTGGCTCACTCCTGTAATCCCTGCACATTGGGAAGCCAATGTGGGAGGATCGTTTGAGCCCAGCAGTTTGAGACAGCCAGGGCAACATAGGGAGAACCTGTCTCTACAAAAAAAATTCCAAAACTAGCTGGGCATGGTGGCACACACCTGTAGTCCCAGCTGCTCAGGAGGCTGAGGCAGGAGAATTGCTTGAGCCCAGGAGATGGAGGCTGCAGTAAGTTGTGATCACACCACTGCACTCCAGCCTGGGCAATAGAGTGTGACTCTGTCTCAAATAAATAAATAAATAAATTTACAAGAAAAAAACAACCCCATTCAAAAGTGGGCAAAGGATATGAACAGACAATTTTCAAAAGAAGACATATATGAGGCCAACAAACATGAAAAAATTCTTGTCATCACTGGTAATTAGAGAAATGCAAATCAAAACCACATGGAGATACCATCTCACGCCAGTTAGAATGGTGATCATCAAAAAATCTGGAGACAACAGATGCTGGAGAGGATGTGGAGAAATAGGAACACTTTTACACTGTTGGTGGGAGTGTAAATTAGTTCAACCATTGTGGAAGACAGTGTGGTGCTTCCTCAAGGATCTAAAAATAGAAATTCCATTTGACCCAGCAATCCCATTACTGGGTATATACCCAAAGGACTGTAAATCATTCTATTATAAAGACACATGCACACACATGTTCATTGTGGTACTGTTTACAATAGCAAAGACCTGGAACCAACCCAAATGCCCATCAGTGATAGACTGGACAAGGAAAATATGGCACATATACACCAGGGAATACTATGCAGCTATAAAAAACGATGAGTTCATGTCCTTTGTAGGGACATAGATGAATCTGGAAACCATCATTCTCAGCAAACTGACACAAGAACAGAAAATCAAACACCACACGTTCTCACTCATAGGCAGATGTTGAACATCTGCAAGAGCATGTAGACAGAGGGAGGGGAGCATCACACACTGGGGTCTGTTAGAGGGGCTAGGGGAGGGTCATCAGGGGTGGGGAGGTTGGGGAGGGATAACATGGGGAGAAATGCCAGATATAGGTGATGGTGGGATGGAGGCAGCAAACCACCTTGCCATGTAAGTACCTATGCAACAACCCTGCATGATCTGCACATGGACTGCAGAACCTAAAGTGCAATAAATAAATAAATAAATAAATAAAAGTGTTGGGGCTGGGCATAGTAGCTCACGCCTGTAAACCCAGTACTTTGAGAGGCTGAGGTGGGAGGATTACAAGGTCAGGAGTTGGAGACCAGGCTGACCAACATGGTGAAACCTCGTCTCTACTAAAAATACAAAAATTAGTCATCCATAGTGGCACATGCCTGTAGTCCCAGCTACGTGGGAGGCTGAGGCAGGAGAATCACTTGAACTTGGGAGGCAAAGGTTGCAGTGAGCCGAGATCATGCCATTGCACTCCAGCCTGGGTGACAGAGAGAGACTCCGTCTCAAAAAAAAGAAAAAAAGAAAAAAAAGAGTTGTGTTCTGTCCTGACAGAGAGTGTCTTTCTCCACACATAACCTCCCTTTTCACTCCAGCCCATAATCCCATTCCCCTGCCCCTTTTCACTCAGTTCATGTTGTATAAGCCTGTATTTTCCTTAGAAACCTGAAACCATAGAAGAGCCAGTGGGACTAGTCAGGCTTCCTTGTATTTGACTTTCCAGACCATTCTAAAACACACTGAGTGTGTTTTAAGAAGGCAGAATTTTAAAAAGATGTTTACAAGATTAAAAATAAAATAAAATAAAATAAAATAAAGGAAGCCAGAATTTGCCACATGCACGAGTCAGGGAATTTGGGCCTTTGGAATGAAAAGGATGAGTTGGTTCCTCAAAAGGAGGATGAGGCATCAAAGGATACCAGCAATAGAGTGAAAATGCAACCCACAGAATGGAAGAAATATTTGCAAATCATATATCTAATACAAGATTGATACCTAAAATACATAACTCCACAATGAAAGCCAAACAACTTGATTAAAAATGGGCAAAGGACTTGCATATACATATCTCCAAAGAAGACACACAAATGACCAATGCACACTTGAAATGCTCAATATGACTAATCCGTAGAGAAAAGCAAATCAAAATCACAACGAGATAAAAACAGAAAGCAAGTGTTGACAAGGATGTTTAGAAATTGGAAACTGTGCATCCTTACTTTGCTAGTGAGAGTGTAAAATGGTGTAGCAACTGTAGAAAATAATATGGCAGTTCCTCAAAAAATTAAACATAGAATCATTATGTGGGCCGGGCACAGTGGCTTATGCTTGTAATTCTAACACTTTGGGAGGCCAAAGTAGGAGCATCACTAGAGCCCAGGAGTTTGAGACCAGCCTGGGAATCATAGAGATAGGGAGACCCTATCTCTATGAAAAATTAAAAACAAAAAAAAGCCAGGTGTGGTGGTGCACATCTGTAGTCCCAGCTACTCAGGAGGCTGAGGCAGAACAATTGCGT